GATAATTTAGTAATGTCATTCAGAAGCGATATTAGCTTCTGGGTTGTCGTAAGAAAGATTATAAACTATATACTTTTAATGACACTCTATGGTGATGAATTCAGGACTTGCGTATGGGTACAACAGGTTGGCACACTACACAGTAACTTCTCAGTCATAAACAGGCGGGAGGCAGCGGTGTAGCAGTGAAACATAACGATGTAATTCAGACTTCTATCGAAACTTGGCAGAAAAAAAGCGTATTGCGAGGTGGGCAGGATACCCTCCCTTGGAGAAGAGTTCATAGTCCCCATGGTCCGTAATTGACTGAAGATGCCTCCCCCCCCCTACTGTGGTAGGCGAAACTTATCATCAATAAAGATACCCCAACCCAGTCTGTTGTATACGTTTTCTTAAACCTGACAATTGTCTGTATTTTATATCGTCTTTTTACACTAATAACAAAGTCACAAATCATACAGAAAAAAGTGAAAGTACATACAGACGAAACATCGCACGTGGTTTCGAATCCAGCTGACTGCGACTTTCTCTACATACCATGTCAAAACTGATTTAAAAGAAATATGGGAGAACATAAGGATGAGAATTTGTAGGTACACTCAGAATGGAAGCTCTTATATGAGGTGGTTTGAGCCACTGTACTGAAGTTGGTCCTGCGCGTTCCTCCTCAACGCTTCAGCACGCCAGTCTCTGCCGCATGTTAGTCTGTCCCAGTCTCTGAAACGCCAAAACAGCTGAAGTAAACTTTGCTCTGTCCCCTGGAGAACGTCAAACAGTTAGTGCCAAAGTTTCCAGACACAGCTTGTCTGCACACAAGCCGCTGATGCTACAACATACACACACACATACAAGGTAGGTAAATACACACACACTCCTGAGTTAAGGAGTACACACACACACACTTCCAAATGCAAAGTCAGAAGACTGGAGAAGTGCAAAGAAGACCGCATGACCAGAGTATAGACAAGGTGCCAAGGACTGCAAACCTCGCTTCCGAAGGAGAAAGACATCTAGGGGGAGTGACCATAACACCGAGCATGTCTCCGGAGCACACAATCAACCAGATAACGCGGCTTGCAGCATATATGGGCGCCGTGGCAAACCTGAGAATAGCAGCTCACGATACATATAAAGAAGCTGTGTTATCAAAACGCAGTACACTTGGTGTACATCCGGCCGCATACTGAGGAGTATCGCAGCACAGTTTTGGAAACCCACACCTGGTCAAACACGTCAAGAAAATTAGAGAAAAGTGCAAAGGTTTTGCTACAAGGCTAGTTTCCGGAGCCAGGGGTATGTCCTACGAAGAAAGGTGAGGGAAATCGGATTGAACGACATTGAGGACATACAGGTTCAGGGGAGACATGAAAACGACATACAAAATACAGGTGGAAATAGATAAGGAGACAGAGACAGGTTGTTCCAGAGAGGAGGACACAGGAAAACAAAGGTCGATCCATCAAATTGGGAAGCAGATAGATGATGGTCAGATGGTAGGTTTTTAGTACGAGTTCAGAGGGATGTTAGGAAGTAATTTTCTTCCAGTCAAGTCGTCAGAAGTGGAATAGCCTAACAAGTGATGTAGTGGAGGCAGTAACCGATTAGCATGCTTTAAGACAGTATGAAAAGCTCTGGACAGAGAGAGAGAGGACCTCGTTAGCGATACAGTGAAGAGGAGGGGCCAGGGAGGCCGAGTCCTCTCGACCCCTGTAACCACAATTAGGCGAGTACCATAGGGATACACACACAGTTTCCTCACAGGGACTGGTGCAGAAGCTGGAGGATCAGGCGCGTAAAAGAACAGGAAGGCACTTGCAAGTGGATTTCAGAGAAAACTCATGAACAGAGAGGCCCACAAACGAGTCATGGATACGTGAGATGAGGTATCATCAGTGGTAGCATACCTGTGAACGAGCGGGGTCCCACAGGGGTCGGTCATAGGACCAGTGCTATTTTTTTGGTATATGTGAATTGACATGATGGAGGCTAGACTCAGAAGTGTCCTCTGTTCGCAAGATATGAAGTTAATGACAGAGAATTAAATCAGATGAGATAAGGTAGGACTCAAAAGAGACTGGAAACACCTGGTCCAGCAACTGCTTTCTCGAATTATAACCACCAACCCCACCAAAGCAAAGTAATGAAAGATCAGGGAAGGGCACAGAAGACCGCACAGGGAGTTATAGGCTAGGTGGCCAGACTGCAAACCTCCGCTCAAGAAGAAAGATCTTGGGAACGTATAACACAGGTGAGTGTAACATGAGGTGAGTGAACACACATCAAACAGGTGAGTGTACACACAACGACATCAAATAGGCGATAAGTGTCACACCCCCATAGCACACTTCAAATAGGATGTTATCACACAGAATCGAAAAATAGGTGCACTGTACACACAGCATACAACAAACAAATGGTTAGATTGTTAAACACACACATACACACAAATAGTGTTTACACACACACACACACACACACACACACACACACACACACACACAGCACACACAACACACACAAACACACAACACACCCAAACCGGTATGACTTTAAAACACACACTATCCAAATAGGCGAGTGTTACACACACACAACGTGACACAAATATCAAATTGGTGGTTTAACCTGTTACCACAACACTACAACACACACATATGCCGCAGGCAAAGATCCAAACAGGTGACAATTTACACACGAAAAACAATCAAATAGGTGAGTGTAACAACACACCAACCAAATAGGTGTTTACCACTACAAACACACACAACAGGTATCACTACAAGTATCGACGGAGACGGCACAGACACACCAAACAGGTGACCCCTTTAACACACACGCACAAGTAGGGGCGTAGTGTACAACACACACACTGCCCTCTCCCAACACCAACAAACAGGTGACACATTACCTCAATCTCTTGGGCCGAAGAGATTCTCCATATCTGAAAAAAATAAAAAAAAAAAATATAAAAAAATAGAATCCATTAAAACAACACTAAAAATAATCATATTTTGTCCTTGAAGGCAATAATTAATAACTGAGAGCGAACTCAGATTAAATATACATATAAATCTCACATACTTCTAGCTGGCTTCTGACGCTCTCTTGATATAAACAAAACTACCAAATATATATATAGTTATATATATAAATATATAAATAAATATAAACATATATATATATATATTATAATCTAATATATATCACACACATACACAATCAAATAGGGTGAGTGTACACACACACACCAAATAGGTGTTAACACACCACACACCCACAGACCACACACCACAAACACAAACACACACCCACACAACACACACACACACAACACACATAAACCACACACAAAGGGAACTGGACAGGCCTGCAGTACCTGTCCATCAATTAGGCCCTGGAGTTCAATCCCACCAAGTGCAAAGTCCATGAAGAATGGGGAAGGGCAAAGAAGACCACAGACGGAGTACAGTCTAGGGGGTCAGAGACTACAAACCACACTCAAGGAAAAGATCTTGGGGTGAAGTATAAACACCAGGCACCTCTCTCCTGAAGCGCACATCAACCCAAATAACTGCTGCAGCATATGGCGCCTAAGCAAACCTCAGAACAGCATTCCGACAATCTTAATAAGAATGTGCAGACCTGTACCCGTGTACGTTAGGCCACATATTGGAGTATGCAGGCACCCAGTTGGGAACCCACACCTAGCCAAGCACGTAAAGAAACTCGAGAAAGTGCAAAGGTTTGCAACAAGACTAGTTCCCCAGAACTAAGAGGTTATGTCCTACGAGGAGAGGTGTTAAGGGAAATCAACCAGACGACACTGGAGACAGGGAGAGATAGGGGGGACATGATAACGACATACAAAATCCTGAAGGAATTGACAAGGTGGACAAAGACAGGATGTTTTCCAGAGATTGGAACACAGTATTCAAGTGGGACACAGTTGGAAGCTGAAGACACAGTGAATCACAGGGACGGTTAGGAAGTATTTCTTCAGCCACAGAGTAGTCAGTAAGTGGAATAGTTTGGGAAGCGATGTCGTGGAGGCAGGATCCATACAAAGCTTTAAGCAGCGGTACGATAAAGCTCGATGGTTCAGGGAGTGAGTACCTAGTAGCGACCTAGTTGAAGGAGGCGGGGCCAGGAGCTTGGACATTCGACCTGCCGCAACCTCAAGCTAGGTGAGTACACACTCACACGGAAGCAGGGGAGGAACTAGTAGCACTCACATGAAAGAAGACGAGGCCAGGAGCTGAGTCTCGGAACTCGCCTGAACCACAATTGAACGAGTATCACACACACACACCACATATAGGCACACCACAACTCCCCCCCCCGATACATTACAAAATTTAAAAAAAAGAGAAACTTTAGTTTTTCTTATTAGGTCACCCTGCTTCAGTGGGAGACAGCCAACAATCTCACTAAATGAAGGGCATATATGAGGATTATTTGTAATATATATATGGGCAGATGATCAAAACAGTGACCAGCATTTGGTACAACCTTAAGTTGAATCAATGCTGAGTGAAATGGTGCAACAAAAGTGAACTATATTTAATACTGCAAAGGAATGTGAAGCATTTACTGCTAGATCAACCAGGTTGTGATGGCTATATGCACCAGTGGGCCACCAGCAGTCACAGCCTGAGTGACCAGACAAGCCTGATCCAGGACAAGGCTATGGCAGTAGGAAAACTCTTGAAACCCATCAAAGGTAGGTTAAAAAAAAACTTTCAACAGGAAGTGCTAAAAGCGTATGGGTTATACAGTCGCCTGAGACTGTAGATACATAATTAGGAGGATCATAATATGGAGGATCTAATTTTTTACAATTTCTCTTTGAAAGCTCTAATTCTCTGAAAGTTGTTCTAATTCTCTGAAAGTTGTTCTAATTCTCTGAAAGTTGTTCTAATTCTCTGAAAGCTCTACTCCATGAGCATCATCAAGGCACCCAAGTTGAAGGTTGAAACAAAAAAAAATCCACTTGCACTGACCTCTGAAGCAGAGACGAGTCTGTTGGAGGAAGTGGCCAGGATGTCCAGATGTCTCCTCACCTGCATCACTGCATCAATTATGTCACTGTCCATGCATTCCGATTGCAGTGCCTGCCAACACAAATGCGTACTCTCAAAATATGTATTCAACAAGGAGGCACACTGCCTTAAGGTTAGATTATGCATAATACGTAATAATAATAATACAATAGTAATAATAATAATACTCTATTTCTACAAGTACATGATACAACTTATACAGCTAACATTAATGACAAAGTCCCTGGTTATGCAGAGCATTTCCCTTTTATCTTATCTTATCCCTAGAAAAATGACAGGATGGATAATGAGAACCTTCAAAACTAGGGAGGCCAAGCCCATGATGACACTCTTCAGGTCACTTGTTCTATCTAGGCTGGAATATTGCTGCACTCTAACAGCACCTTTCAAGGCAGGTGAAATTGCCGACCTAGAAAATGTACAGAGAACTTTCACGGCGCGCATAACGGAGATAAAACACCTCAATTACTGGGAGCGCTTGAGGTTTCTAAACCTGTATTCCCTGGAACGCAGGAGGGAGAGATACATGATTATATACACCTGGAAAATCCTAGAGGGACTAGTACCGAACTTGCACACGAAAATCACTCACTACGAAAGCAAAAGACTTGGCAGACGATGCACCATCCCCCAATGAAAAGCGGGGGTGTCACTAGCACGTTAAGAGCCCCATACAATAAGTGTCAGGGGACCGAGACTGTTCAACTGCCTCCAGCACACATAAGGGGGATTACCAACAGACCCCTGGCAGTCTTCAAGCTGGCACTGGACAAGCACCTAAAGGCAGTTCCTGATCAGCCGGGCTGTGGCTCGTACGTTGGTTTGCGTGCAGCCAGCAGCAACAGCCTGGTTGATCAGGCGCTGATCCACCAGGAGGCCTGGTCACAGACCGGGCCGCGGGGGCGTTGACCCCCGAAACTCTCTCCAGGTAAACTCCAGGTAAATAGGTTAATTTTGTCCACAGGATGTGTCCCACACCAGTCGACTAACACCCAGGTATCTACTTACTGCTAGGTGAATGAAAACAACCACAATACTGTGGCCTGAACAACTGACACAAACCCGCACTTAGGAATCTTGTGACGACATTTTGGCCATTCCTGCATCTCTGCAAGGCTTGAGAATGCTCCAGGATGGACTGAAAAGTGTCATAAGGCCCCTCTCCATAGTGGGGGTTAATTTTGCATGTCTGCTGTACATGTGCATTTGCAAAGATAAGATAGTGGAAGTAAATACTGATACAGCCTAAAGGAGAAATCCCAACATTTTCCTGGTAGGCCTATCTAATCCTCCTAGGTTATTCACCAATTTTTGCAAGAGAGCCACTTCGGTTAAACACACTGATTGAGAGAGCCAGTTAGCATAACTCAACTAAATTTAGTAGTACTGAGCTGCTAGTGAAATACAGTAAATGAGAAAAATTAGACACGGTAATATTAGCCTGCATATCTTGTTATTGGCGGCTCGCGAGCCGCGCAATGAATATGGGTCTCAGCCTAGGTCAGACCTAGGCTGAGACCCCTGCACCTGCAGTAGAGGTGGATCCCTCGCTTATCTCATACTATGATAGATATATACACTTAAAATATATACACAAACATGATGTGAATCATGAATATGTGATTTATAAACACCTCTAAGCAATATTCGTTAACTAATCAACAGATAATATAAATTTTATATAGAATAATTCTACCCAAACTTACTCTTTTAAGTGTAAATTAATATACATAAAATAATATTAGCTGCATGATGAGGGTGATCAGTGACAGGCTGAAGAATTAAATACTTGAAACACCAAGATACAAACATGTAAACACCTCGTCACCACTAACTTGTTCAGCTATCAAAATTTCACAGACCAGTCCTTGGAGCCATTATGTGCCTCTGTAATGTTGAGGTACAGTCCCTGGACCCATTATGTGCCTCTGTAATGTTGAGGTACAGTCCCTGGACCATTATGTGCCTCTGTAATGGTTGAGGTACAGTCCCTGGACCCATTATGTGCCTCTGTAATGTTGAGGTACAGTCCCTGGACCCATTATGTGCCTCTGTAATGTTGAGGTACAGTCCCTGGACCCATTATGTGCCTCTGTAATGTTGAGGTACAGTCCTTGTACCCATCTTGTACCTCTGTAATCTTCAGACTACCACCCACACCATGGGTATGAGCTGTATAATAGATATATTTAACTAACACTTTTGTCTGCAGTGTTAGGTTCGTCTCTATTTGAAGAAGGTTCCTGCTGCTGCTGGCAGGGTCTTATTTATCAACTGGTCCAATAAACCAAGACGGGCGAAACATTGCAGTTGCCAGACTGAGTTATTTCATAATTTTTTAATGTCATTCAGAACAGAATGCTTGGGTGTCTAATAAATTATAAACTATATACTTTATGACATTGATGATTAGGACACATGTACAACAGGTTTCACCTACACAGTAGACTTCTTCAGTCATATACAGAGGCAGCAGGTGTAGCAGTGAAATAAAGATGTAATCAGTCTATCAACCTTGGAGAAAAAGTATTTGAGGTGGTCAGTCCCTCAGCTTGGAGAAGAGTTCAGCCCCATGGTCCGTATTTGACTGAAGAAGCCTACTGTGTAGGCGAAACTTTTCATCAATAAAGATACCCAACTGTTGTATACGTGTCTTAATCCTGGACTTGTCTGTATTTTATATCTTTTTTTAACACTATAACAATGCACAACACAGAAAAAAGTGAAAGTACATACAGAGAAACATCGCACGTGGTTTCGAATCCTGCTGACTGCGATCTTTCTCTACATACTTCAAAACTGTTAAAAGAAATATGGAGAACATAAGGTTGAGAATTGTAGGTACCAGAATGGAGCTTATGAGGTGGTTGACCTCTGTACTGAAGTTGGTCTCTGCCGTGTCTCTCAGACGCTGCTGCACGTCCAGTCTCTGCCGCAGTGTTAGTCTGTCAGTCTTGAACGCCAAAGACAGCTGAGTAAACTTGCTCTGTCAAGGAGAACGTCACAGTTAGTGCCAAAGTTCCAGACACAGCTTGTCTCACTACACCGCTGATGCTACACATACACACACACATACAAGTAGGTAAATACACACACACACCTGAAGTAGGGAGTACACACCACACACACTTCCAAATGCAAAGTCATGAAGACTGGAGAAGGGCAAAGAAGACCGCAGACAGAGTATAGACTAGGTGGCCAAGGACTGCAAACCTCGCTCAAGGAGAAAGATCTTGGGGGTGACCATAACACCGAGCATGTCTCCGGAGGCACACATCAACCAGATAACGGCTGCAGCATATGGGCGCCTGGCAAACCTGAGAATAGCGCTCCGATACCTTAGTAAAGAATCGTTCAAAACACTGTACACTGTGTACATCAGGCCCATACTGGAGTATGCAGCACCAGTTTGGAACCCACACCTGGTCAAACACGTCAAGAAATTAGAGAAAGTGCAAAGGTTTGCTACAAGGCTAGTTCCGGAGCTCAGGGGTATGTCCTACGAAGAAAGGCTGAGGGAAATCGGATTGACGACATTGGAGGACAGACAGGTCAGGGGAGACATGAAAACGACATACAAAATACTGCGTGGAATAGATAAGGTAGACAGAGACAGGTTGTTCCAGAGAGGAGACACAGAAACAAGGGGTCACAATTGGAAGCTGAAGATTCAGACGAGTCAGAGGGATGTTAGGAAGTATTTCTTCAGTCAGAGTCGTCAGGAAGTGGAATAGCCTAACAAGTGATGTAGTGGAGGCAGGAACCATACATAGCTTTAAGACGAGGTATGACAAAGCTCTGGAAGCAGAGAGAGAGAGGACCTAGTAGCGATCAGTGAAGAGGCGGGGCCAGGAGCCGAGTCTCGACCCCTGTAACCACAATTAGGCGAGTACAATTAGGTGAGTACACACACAGTTCCTCACAGGAGACTGGTGCAGAAGCTAGAGGATCAGGCGCGTATAACAGGAAGGGCACTGCAATGGATCAGAGAATACCTGACAGAGAGGCAACAACGAGTCATGGTACGTGATGAGGTATCACAGTGGGCACCTGTGACGAGCGGGGTCCCACAGGGGTCGGTCATAGGACCAGTGCTATTTTTTGGTATATGTGAATGACATGATGGAAGGGCTAGACTCAGAAGTGTCCCTGTTCGAAGATATGAAGTTAATGAGGAGAATTAAATCAGATGAGGATAAGGTAGGACTTCAAAGAGACTTGGACACCTGGTCCAGCAACTGGCTTCTCGAATTTAACCCCACCAAATGCAAAGTCATGAAGATCGAGGAAGGGCACAGAAGACCGCACAGGGAGTATAGGCTAGGTGGCCAGACTGCAAACCTCGCTCAAGAAGAAAGATCTTGGGATGAGTATAACACAGGTGAGTGTAACATAGGTGAGTGTACACACATCAAACAGGTGAGTGTACACACACACATTCAAATAGGCGAGTGTACACACCCCCATACACACTTCAAATAGGTGTACACACAGAATCAAATAGGTGACTGTACACACACATACACAATCAAATAGGTGAGTGTACACACACACACCAAATAGGTGTTTACACACACACACACACACACAAAACACACACACACAAAACACACACACACACACACAACACACACACACACCAAACAGGTGACTTTACACACACGATCAAATAGGCGAGTGTACACACACACACACATCAAATAGGTGTTTACACACACACACACACACACCAAACAGGTGACTTTACACACACAATCAAATAGGTGAGTGTACACACACACACCAAATAGGTGTTTACACACACACACACACACCAAACAGGTGACTTTACACACACGATCAAGTAGGCGAGTGTACACACACACACTGCCTCTCCACACCACCAACAAACAGGTGACACATTACCTCAATCTCTTGGGCCGAGAGATTCTCATTACTGAAAAAAATAAAAAAAAATATTAAAAAATAATCCATTAAAACACACGTAAAATAATAATATTTGTCCTTGAAGGCATATTATATTACTGAGGCGGAACTCAGATAAAATATACATATAAATCTCGACCATACTGCTACTGGCTTCTGACGCTCTCTTGATATTAACAAAACTTACAAATATATATATATATATATTATTATATATATATATATATATATATATATAATATATATATATATAATATATATAAAACACCACAATACACAATCAAATAGGTGAGTGTACACACACACACCAAATAGGTGTTTACACACACACACACACACAGACACACACACACACACAAACCACACACACACAACCAAAACACACACACAACACACATACACGCACACACAAAGGGATCTGGACAGGCTGCAGACCTGGTCCAGCAATTGGCTCCTGGAGTTCAATCCCACCAATGTGCAAAGTCATGAAGATTGGGGAAGGGCAAAGAAGACCACAGACGGAGTACAGTCTAGGGGGTCAGAGACTACAAACCTCACCAAGGAAAAGATCTTGGGGTGAGTTAACACCAGGACATCTCCTAAGCCCCAATAAACCCAATAACTGCTGCACATAGGGGCGCCTAGCAAACCTCAAACAGCATTCCGACATCTTAATAAGGAATCGTTCGGACCCGTACACCGTGTACGTTGGGCCCCCATATTGGAGTAGCAGACCAGTTTGGAACCCACACCTACCCAAAGCACGTAAAAGAAACTAGAGAAAGTGCAAAGGTTGAAACAAGACTAGCCCCAGAGCTAAGAGGTATGCCCAGGGAGAGGTTAAGGGAAATCAACCGACGACATGGAGGACGGGAAGATAGGGGGGACATGATAAGAATAAAAAATACTGAGAGGAATTGACGGTGGACAAAGACAGGATGTTCCAGAGATTGGACACAGTAAAACAAGGGACACGTTGGAATGAAGACACAGATGAATCCAGGGATGTTAGGAAGTATTTCTTCACCACAGAGTAGTCAAAAAGTGGAAATTTGGGAAGCGATGTAGGGGAGGGGGAAAATCCATAATAGCTTTAAGCAGAGGTAGATAAAGCTCATGGTTCAGGGATGAGACCTAGTAGCGACCATAAAAGGGGGGGGCCAGGAGTTTGGGACTGACCCCTGCAACCTCAACTAGGTATTTACACACCCACGGGGGGGGGGGCCCGTGCACTCATGAAAAAGCGAGGCCAGGAGTGAGTCCGACCCCTGCAACCACAATTAAGCGAGTACACACACACACACACACAAACAAAACCCCCCCCCCCCCCACACACACAAAACACACCAAAACACACAAACCCCCCCCCAACACACAGTACAAAATCCGACACATGTAGAGTGAGGACAAATACAGTAAATCAATAGTTTATTGCAAGTTTCGCCCACACAGTGGACTTTCAAGCCCTAAACGGAGACCTGTTTATGACTTGATAGAGTCACTGGGGGGCGAAACTTTTGTCAATAAAAAGGATCGTTTTATACGTATTTCTTCTACTCTCCATCAGCATTTAAATATTTAAATAATGGTGGGGGTGGTGGTGGTGCGGGGTGGTGGGGTTGTGTTGAGGGTAGTAGGGGTTGTGATTGATGGTGGTAATGAGGGGTAATAAATATACACAACTAGTCCTGTTACAATCAATATGCCCTGGTCATTAACTTTTCAATACAGTAAACAATACCAGAAGAGTGGACAACAAGTGGAAAAAAATCACATGGCTCCTTTTTTTTGAGTCCCCCTCAGAGGCGTCGTAAAAAGGGGGGAGGGGGGGGGGGTTGTACCTATAACTAAACAAACTTGCCCAAAATATTCACGATAACATCAATACATGTAATACAAACACTTCTCTCGTGCACAGCAGGATTAAAAACCTAAACACTCGCTTGGTATTCCGTAGCTCGAGCATGGTCCGGGGGATAAACCTCCGGTACGGCTGGAAAACATTAGGACGTGTTTCCTAAGACACCCGCTGTTATGTTCCCCCATTGTAAAATGGGTCCCGGGTGTTATGGACGGGTTTGGGGGGTCGCATCCTGGGACAAAATTTGCCCTAAATGCTCAGCAAAACAAGGGGCTTTCTATATAGCAGTGCACTGATGTCACTAGGTTTGTATACCTTGTCCCTGTATGGTAGAAAAAAAAGATAATATTAACACTCCTTACTTTTTAACGCGACCCAGAAAATTTAGGGGCCCCTAGCCGCAGCTGAATGTTATCCACAGTTCGGTAGGCGCCTATACTTATCTGGAGTCTGGCTTTTATAGTAAACTATGTTATCTGATGCCGAGTTTGCGGGTTTCGAATCCTGCGTGGACTGGATATAAGTCGAAATAATTTCGCCTGCTTTTGCGAATTGGGTTGGCATAAATGTATATAATGTATGTATGTATGCGTGTTGTTTTTCGTGTAACTTGGGCCCACAAGGCTAGGAGGAATCTGAAAAATGGCAATTTGTGAGTTTGGGGCCAGGAGCTAAAACACGCCCCCTTTTTAAACCATTATAAAAGCATTTTACTTTACAAAGGGAAGGTTTTTCGCTTCTTGGTACCTAATCATCCTACAGTAACGTCAACATCGGACAGCTTTTAACTGGTGACACAAAACACTAGTTATTCAATGGTTTTTACAGAAATTTATATGGCCTGATAATAATGATTTTAAAAATATGGAAAGGCGTTCGTGGTGGTCTTTAAAGGAAAATAAAGACCACTTTGGTAGTGTGATGAGCCCAGTACATTTTGGAAAACCCGCCACTGTACGATGATGGGAAAGTGTTCACTAATTCCCGGGGTCCTTTACCTCTGTGAGGAACGGCCTGTATTAGCTGTTGTATACAGTTAGTACTGTGTGTTCATCTCTCTCTGAAGGTAGCACATGGCAGGCCATACATAGCTTTAAGAGGGGGTATGTAAAGCTCAGGACCGGAAAGAGATTACCAACCACACCAACCCTAATAAAAAAAAACACGACATCCCACCATCTCTCTTTTCCCATTAAAGAAATTTTAATTATTATTATTATTTTATTTTTTATTATTATTATTTTTATTTAAAAATTAGCCGGGATTCTCCCGGCCCGGGCCTTTCCCAAATTTTGGCCCGGCCTTTGGGTCCCTTTTGGAGGTCTGAGACCTAAGTCTCCCATGGGAGGAGGGCCCAAACCCTCCCCATCTTTGGGACCCAAATGCCCCAGGCCTAGCCACAAACTGGCCCCTCTGGTCGCCATCCCCGCCACAAGGGGGCAAATGGGAATGACAGTTTATGAGCTAAAGGCTCGGGCTCAGGCACCTACCCTACCCTAGAAGGGTTAGGCATGGTGTCGATGTTTTTATTAAAGCAAAAATTGGTGTACAGCCGTAATAAAAATCAATACTGACTTTGAGAGTCTTATATTCCGGAGTTCAAGAGGCATTACCATGCGAAGGACATCTACCGGAGACTACAACAATGTCAGTGCCACTTACACTGACACACTAAGTTTATTCAGGTATACACAAATACAGTTACATAGAATTATCATACATAGCAGCATATGTGTAGAGAACCTGGGATAACCCAAAAAAGTCAGACAGAGAGACTTATTTCCAAATGTTGATGGGAGGAGGAAGACTGACTCGCTCTTAACACTCCCAACATACACCATTAATCTCCAGTATTTATAAACAACAGCTTACATAATATTTACGTCTAAGCAGCTTTTACATTTATTTTTGCTTTGTGTAAAATTACGTCTTCACGATAGATTATTTAAATTAGCATGCTAAACTCACCTAAAAAAAAAAACAAACCAGGGTGTAAACACACACCACACACACCACACACCACACACACACACACACAAAACACCCCCCACACAACACAACACTACAAACACACACACACCCCACAACACACACACACAAACAACACAAACACATCACACACACACAACACACAACACCCACACAAAAACAACACACACAACACACCACACACACAACACACAAAAAACAACACAAAACACAACAAAACCCCAACAACACACCCCCACAACCACACACACAACACACAAACACACCACACCACAAACACACAACAACACACAAAAACACACACACAAACACACACACAACCACACACCACACAACAACAACAACCCCCACAACACACAAAACACACACACAAACAAACACACAACAACACACCCACAAAAAACAAACACAAACCACACAACAAAAACACAAAAAAAACCCCCACACACACAACACAAAACCAACACACAACCAAAACACAAACACACACACAAACCACACAACACAACCAAAAAAACAACACACACCACACCAAACACACCACAACACACACCAAAACAAAAACCACACACACACACACACAACACAAACAAAACACACAAAACACAACCACAAAACACACACACACAACACACACAAACACAACACAACACACAACCAAAACACACAACACAACACACAAAACACCACCAACACACCAACACACACACACACACACACAACACACACAACACACACACAACACAACAACACACACACAAAACACACACAAACCCCACACAAAAACACACAACAAAACACAAACACACAACAAACACAAAAAACAAACACACACAAAAAACACACACACAACACACACAAAACACAACAACACCACACACACACCACACACACACAAAACACAAACACACAAACCCCACACACAAAACACAAAAACACACCACACACACAACACACACACAAACACACACAACAAAACAACACACAACCCCACACACACAAAACAACACACAACACACACACAAACACCAAACACAAACCCCCACACAAAACACAACCACAACAACACAAACACAAACCACACACCACAACACACACCAAAACAACACACACACAACACACCCACAAAAACAACCACACAAAAAACACCCAAACCCCCA